CCATGCTCCCCAAAAGGCCAATTTAATTTAAAGCCGTACAGAGGGAAGCAATCTCTCTTTAGACATCCCAGATATGTGAAACAGAATATATTTTTTGTGCATTTTTCTCCCATTTTATATTTTAAAAAATAATATAGGGTACAATGTTCAGTAATAAGGAAAAGTGGTGTGATTAAAATAATTACTTTGGAAAATGTCAAACAGTAGACAAAAAAAAAAGGCAACTCAGACTAAGGTACAGTAGCTACATCTACTTTTCAACCATCCATTTTTCTTGCAATGATGATGCCCCTTCAAATGCTACTATCCACAGAACAGCTCACCTCTTCCAGCCCAGTGCTCCACACCCCATGTTAAGAGAACATTTTGATGGAAACACAATATGACAAGCAGCCTTTTTCACCAGATGCTTTATTTACTTGAAATGATTTAATTGCTTTGACTTAATCCAGACTCAACCTACAAGAATAAAACTTGGAGTGCACTGAAAAGAGAAAGAAAATATCAAGGCTTTTTAGCTGCCTCTTTTCAAGGCTTACATTTTTTCCTAGCTGTGTTCCTGCTCTGATCAGTTTCCAAAACCCTAAAGAACAAAACCACTACTAGTTTGAGTGGTAAAAGTGTATCAGAGAGGGAGGGATATTTCTAAACCATCAGAAATAGTTTCAGTACTAGATAAACAAGGAATTTTTACAATACTTTTCTCCCTACAAACTCTCATAGAATTTATTAATATAGCGTTTAAATAAACTGATCAAGAAACTAAATGAACATACATGTCCCTTTCACAAGGTAACAGTGATCAAAACAGCAAAATATGTTAAGAAGGGGACATATAAAAATAGAAGTGCTAGAATGAAAATATATGCAATACTGATAACTAACACATTCATATAGCTAACAAAAAAGCAATAATACAGATATCAATAGTGTACCTTTTTAAAAAATACTATTCTAATACCTCTTTGCAGAACATGAACATCTGGACCCATATGGCTTTTTTTTTTGTAGTTTAACAAGCGAACATTTACAAAATAAAAATTTTCTGCTGTAGTGCAGCATCAAGAAAAGAAACAAAACCACAGTGACATGCCTTACATAATCAAGGATCTTTTCTTGGGACATAGCACTCATTTATAATTCCAGGGACATTTGTTCTTGAAAGGGTGCTTCCTGTAAAAAAGTCACATGCTGGATCAGCACAATCTGCTCATAACCTCTGTAGAAAATTAGAATGGAGGAAAAAATTTTAAGCCTTTTATTCTTTGCTAATTAGCTGGCAAACATAACTATCTGTCTGACAGAAAACAGTTCAACTGAGAAAAGTAAGATTTTATAGCAACAGATGCATTGCTAAGAAGAAAAATAATTTGAAAATAAATTCAGATTCAGGCTATACGTAATTTTTGGATTTTTTTTCCTCCACAGTCTCCAAATGGCAAATAGTCTGATTACTTTGCTATCTACTTTTTAGATCTCATCAAATGTGACAGTCCAAACATTTAGCTTCAAGTGCTATAAAATAAAATAAAATAAAATAAGCCAATGAAACCACATTGAAATTAGGACTTTTCAGCCAAACAAACCTGCTAAGATCCACCCTCAAATCTGGCTGCATATTTGATGATTAGACAAGCTTGGGATAAGTAATGCAAATATATTTCAGGAAAAAAAAAATTAAAACCCCAAAAACCTATCAAAAAACACCAAAACCAAATGTCTAAAGCCAAACATACAAAAATAAAATACTGAGTTCAAGACTGAGTAAAATTACTTCACAAAATAAGGAGGTTTTCCCCTAAGAATTAAAGGACTATTAGATATACAGCTTCCTCATCGTAGCATGGCATAATATATTGCACTCTGACTATGGGAAAAGAAAAAGTATGTAATACCCCAAATCCGATATAAGAACATGATAGGAAAGTGCCATCTGTACTGTAGTTACCAGAAAAGAAATGTAATAACATTTCTACAAGTGCCACAAGTTCTACAAATTTTACTAGTAACTACAGCTATCTTTATATTGAAAGAAAGATCTACTTAACATCTGAACAAATGCACCATCTCTGTTAATTGATACCTTTGCATTTTACACATTCTGACTTAAAATAGCTGAGAAGCATTTTACACCAGGGCAGCCTTAGGAACTCAATTTCCTGTGGAACCATTGCTGGAACCAAACTTATATTGATGAGCTTTCAGAAGACATACATTCAAGACAGTCTATTTTTGCAAACTCCCACATTTGAGGCCTACTATTAAGCTCTACCACCAAGTGTGTGCAAATAAACTTCCTGGCAATTGTTAAAGAGCCAGTCCTTCAAAGCAAACCAAGCTGGTTGCAAAACAGCACTAGAACCTTATGCTACAAAATGCTAAACAATGATAGTAAGAGAGTTGCTGCATGAAACTGAATTAATATATATTTGATTATTTGCTAAAATAATGGCACATAAGGGTAAAAACATCAGAAAAAAATTCCATACTTTGTTTACATATCCAATTCAGACAGCGGCATAATTTACCCAAAATCAGAAATTTTAATATTGCATTCCTCCATAACAGAAAACACATCTATAATCTAAGTTGGATACATGTCATGTACCCTCTGGAATAATTAGTAACAATATTCAATTTTATACAAAGAATTTAAATTAAATTAATTGCAAGAATAATTGCATATGTAAAAATTTTTAGGACTGCAGTACAATGTCTATGAAGTCCATGCTATAAATGCATTTTTAATGGCTAAAACTAAACACAGACTGCAAGAATCAGAGTCTCTGATTCTAGAACCACCACCATAAAATACATCCCTGATTATTCAAACTCTAGACGATTCAAAAGGAATAATGACAATTTTATAATCACAAGAGCTAGGAGTGAAGCCATCAGCTTGATCTTAGCTCTGAGCATACTTCAAATAATATAAGCAAGCACTGAGAACATTTACACTTTATGCTTTTAATTTTGGCTTTACCTGAACAATATTTAGAAATAGTCTAATCAGTTTCATTCCATTAACTATTTTCTGATTATTATAGCTGGGTAATGTGATAGCTGGCTCTCGCAATTAAGGGATGACTATTATGTGTATGTTAAGATAAGTTTTATTGATGTATAGTTATGTTATTGTGATTTGTTGTTTAGACATCGTCTGTTCTCCCCATAGTCCCCTTTTTCTCCCAGTACTGTTGCTTAGGAATGGCCTTGCTAGCTGGGACAAGTGGAAGGAGGGTGTGTACCTGTGCCCCCTGCAAGGAGCATTTGGGAGGAGGGAAGGCTTACTACTAGGAGGTGTGGCATGACAACACCTGACCTCCAATCGAGTTGCAAGAAAGTGATCTCCACCAATAAATGGCAAAGAAGAGTTAGTTAACTGACAGGCTTTAAGAGGGGACAGGGTTGCCTAATGCAACCCTACGGGTGTAAAATGCGAAGCAGCCATTTTGTAGACCAGCTTGTGGCTGCGAGGTCACCTACTCCCAGTGCACTGTCTTTTTTCCTTATTCACTCACTAGTTATATTTTGTTAAGGCTTTAATGAACCTTTAAAATTTTTAGAAGTGAGGAGTCATTTCTCATACTGATTATCAAGATACTAAAGACTGGACTTGATACTCAAAGACGGCTAATGCAAAGCATTTTCACAGACATTAGAATGACAGTTGTTCTTTAGATCCAATATCTACATTCTCAATACATAAATTTCCTTTACACTTCTCTCTGCATTAACATTTTTTTTAACATGAAGAATAGATGTCAACTTTAACATAGGTCTAGTTGAAATTTTAGGACTTTAAATTTTGTGAAAGATGCATGATGCTTATTTTTATTAAAGGAAAAAATAGTAAATCCCCAACAACCTGTCAACCCAGCTAATGATTAATTCCGCTGCAAATACTGATTTGCTAAAGCTGAAATCTTGAAAGGCCAGTAAAAGTGCCACTTTTTCATTGCAATAGGCTTTAAGAAAAAAAAAATCACCTCAGCAGGTAAGTATCTGTGTTCACTATCCTGTGAATGTCAAGCCTTGAGAGGATTACTATTCTATTAAGTACTGAGTCATTGCCCAGTGATTGTTTATCTCCACATCACAAAGCACTATTCAGAATGAAAGCATTTCACACTGGACAAAAAAGTCTGGCTCCAGCAGCTGTTCCACAGAACAACATTAAAGGGCCAAAAACCCCTGCTTCTCACCAGTATTGCCACTGAGTGCCACTGAAGACAACCACTCAATGGCAGAAAGAAAAAAATATATCTCACAAGAAACAAAGCCACCTTCCACTGCTAAAAGATTTTTTCAGAACCCACCACTACAGTCTCTTCACTATCCACTGTCATGGAAATTAGGATTTATGTCTGCTTGGTGCTTAAACACAGAAATTTCAAATCTTAAATCTCAAGCATGGAGATTTGTCCCTTGGTAAAAAAAAAAAAATCTTCCCAAGAGCTTTATTTATAACAGTACTGTTCAGGGACAAACTCTTGAACTCTCTCTAGCTTCCTTACTCTCTTCATCCCCAGCCCTCTTTTCCCATCACCTACAGCAGTGTAGGCATACCTCTCCAGAAAATGAGACCATTTTTGACAAAACATCATCTTAAGAACAGAGAGTCTACAGGACATGATTAAGCTGAGACTGTGAAGCTATTAAAACAACAAAGTAATTACCTGAATGTAGTATTATTGCATACATAATTATACTTACAAATTTCCATTTTATCAAAACAGAAGCAAATGCACTTCAATTTATCTCATAATTAATTTTACAATAAAGGGGCAATTGGGTTTTTTTTAATATAAAGAAGCTTCTAATAGCAATTCACAGCTTCTTTTTAATAATTTAAACCCAGATTAATTTAATCCTTGGTACATAATACTGGCCAAACTTCTACAACCAGTGAAATAGTACTTTTCACTCCATATTGACAAAAAACTAGCACTGACCACACTGACACAAATTCGAGTGTGAAACATTTTAAGAAGGGTTACCTCAGATTCATCTGTTGATTCCTCATAAGACCTGGTTTCCTGAAAAGGACACAAAAAACAAAGGGGTAAATAGCTAAGTACACACATAACTGAGCAGTATTTCCCTTTAAGAAGTACTTTTAAACCCTTACTAAGAATTGAAAGACAAAAGAAGCAACTCAAAGTTCAGAGTTTCCATCCCTATACTTCATACTTGATTTGTGCTTGCACTTGCATTCGAGTGTCAGTGATACTCGGGAGCAGCAGGGACTCTCTTGTCAGTTACCCTAAAAGGGAGAGTGACTGGGAGATCAGAGAATCTGTCCCTGTGATTATCTTCCCCTCTCCTGGAAGCAGCAGCAAATTTTGCAAAGAAACTGCCCGTATCTTGATTTACATGGCAGAACAGCATTCTCAAGTTATCCACAAGCCAGCTTTGCTATTCAACTATTCAGCTGTTAATAGGCTTATTTTAAACTTAAATAATTTCAAACCATTTTCCATAGAAATCCAGCATTCAATGACTTTCTCCTTCCCATCTGATGTTAATTCAAGATGTGGCTTTCTCCTGCCTTTGAAACAACTATACCTTTAAAACATCTCTCTGGCAAGATGATTCTTTCTACCCTAGAAAAAAAAATTTTTAAGTCAACTCCTGCTCATCTCTTGTCCGCCCACTGAGAAAATCTGCTGATGCAATGCTTCCTCAAAGAAGTCAGCAAAACGAAGATTTACTTAACGCATTTATCTTTATCAATAGCAATAAAGGATTACAACTAATACACCAGCAGTGAATGTAAGCATTTTAACAATAAAATATGATATAAACAAAGAACAAGCAAGAGAGAAGGCAGCATTTCAAATCTTATGAAGGGAGTCTTTGAAGAGTAAGATTAATAGGTACACAATTCCACCAGACAAGACAAAAAAAAAATACACCCGTACCAATAGCTTAGAGAAAAATGGAAAAGGGAGAAAATTTAATGCACCGACAACCAGTGTAATTTTTTGTTTCTCACATTTATTTCTGTGTTTATATAATGCACTGATTGTGACCTGTACACCAAAAGCAAAGGCTTCCTTTTCATTAGTGAAGACTTACATTGATGCCCGTAATGACCATCACAGCAGATGGCAGAGAAGCAAAGCAGCACTTCTGTCTGCTGTTGGAAGCTTCATGCAAGGTGCTATCACAATTACTTTCATCTGTTGCCTCCATTTTACTCACTACAGACAGACCCACTTCTAAAATACACATCCCATAGAAGGGTTATCAGTGTAGTCTATACTTGTGTCACAAATTGGGAAATTGCAAGTAAAAAGTATAAGGGAATTAAGGGAAGATGGAGTAAAATCCAGGCATCCTTTGAAGTTTAGATTCAACTTTGCAAGCCCAACTGTTTGTCTGTCAGTCTTCCAATCTCTCTCTCACTATTATAATCTCTCCCGTAACAGATCCAATGTAACTTCTCAAACTATTCTTAAGTGGGCTTTCTAGCATGATGGGTATAGGGTTTTCTCTTCCCCTGGTTTTACAAACATCAAATGTAACCCACTAGGTCTTGAAGCCCATAACGTAAACCTGACAGAAGGTGAAAGACACAAAACTTGAGTTTTAGAGAAACACATGCACAACACACACACAGCATTTTAGTAGAGGTGTGCATGCTACCCACAGGAAATAAACTGAAATGAGTAAAGTAACTCCCCTATCATAGTCCAAAGAGTTTAATCTATTGTATTGTTAGAGAAGACTTGTCTGAGTTTGCTTTATCCTTCTAAAGGCTGCCACAGTTAAAAACTCGCCAATCCTGGGACAAAGAAGTCTCCCGCAATGAAGCCAAGCCCTCCCAACAAAACTCTGTCAGCAGGGAAGGTGGAAACCAGATGCCAGTCTCTAACTTTGGCCAGTTACCTTGAAGTAATTCTAAGACTCTTTCACTTTTAGGCATCCATGACTGACAAATATTGCACAACTCAGCTGTCTGTTCAAGTACTGGTTCAGTAAAGAAGCATTTAGTGCGGGAAAGTACCTAAAAGAGCCAGAAGCTGCACTTTTTCCTTTATTTCTTTTTTTTCCCTTGGGAAAGAGCAACCTAGGGACGGGGAGCTTTAGCAGAACACCCAATTAAGGGTACAGCACCAAAATCCTCAAGTTTTGTCTCAGAAAAGAATTCCCTTGTTGAAATGAACTTGGTCATATCTCTCATGTCCCTCGGTAGAGAGACAGCTCTTGGCTGCAGAGCGGCGTCAGGCGCACTTCTAAACCCACCCTCCCGGCCAGAGCCGGTTCCGCCGCCTCCATCTTCCCTCCTCCGCCCCGATGCAGCGAGGCTGTCCCCGCACCCCGCAGGGCTGGCTCGGCCTCTGCCCCGCGGCACGGGCACTGTCGCACTGTCCCACTGTCCCGCTGTCCCACGGTGCCACTGTCCCGGCCCTGTGCCCCGCCCGGTCCCGTCCTCGGCGCCGCGCCACAGCGCAGTGACAGTCTCTACCTTCTCCCCGGCTTCCGCCATGGCGCAGGCGGGCCGCTGTCACGTGAGGGGCAGGAAGCGGCGGGGCGGAGGCACGCCGGGAAATGTAGTTTCGGCGGGACGCGAGCGGCTCCTTCTCCCCCCGCTCTTTCCCTCCTCAGCCCGCCTGAGGTGTGCTGGCGATGCCGTGCAAAGCGGAGGGCACACGCAAGGCTGGGCCCAGCAGCACAGCCCAGCCGAGCTTCCTCTCCACCCTCCGTAGCTGCGAGACGCTTTTTTCAGCTGAAATCCATCGATTCTCTCAGGGAGGCCAGCGTGACCTCCCAACGCCGTGGTACACCCAGCTGTGACGAGACTGAAGGGAGCCACTGCAGTGCTTGATGAGCTGGCGCCTGATTAGCGAGGGCTCGGATGCAGCTGAAGCCAAGAGCCATG